TACGTATATATATATATTATATATATATATATATATATATATATATATATATATATATATGTTACTGACGTAATAGACCGATACAAGCCAACCGCCTAAAAACGCCACTCTATCACAGTCGAGCTATTGATAACGCGTAAGTAGCGATACGTGCTGCGTGAAGAGCTTTTCCTCACTTTCGTGGCACCCTCGGGGATTGCTCATTAATCTTCCCGCACGCGATTCACCCTCCGGCCGAGTTTTACATATTTATTACCATCTCAGTACCGGCGCGGAACGGCTGTTTTGGTATTCGGTCCGTTACATGCCGTCGAGCTCGCGGCATCGAAACCGCTAAAATCCGTCCAAAGTCGTACGAAGCACTCCGTACAAAGCCAGCTCGTGTGGCACAACCCGGGACGATCTCCATCCTCCTCTCTTCATCTCTCTTTCTCAGCCCCACTCGTCTCGTAACTCGCGGATATGATTTGCGAGATTCACGTGTCTTCCTCGAGGGAGAGAGGAACGGGGGAAGAAGGGGTGAACCGTCGCGTCGTGTGGCTCACGTAGATGCCGGGGGTAAGCCGCACCCGCGCGAATCCCGTTCGACGTTTCCCTCAGAATTTCACGGGGCAGAGTAGTGGAAAAGCGAGACGGGGCGGTAACATATGCGAACCTCGGTATCGCTCGCGGAAACTTTTACTGAAATTCTCTGCTGTACAGAGAGCCAACGGAATATGCCGCTGTCTTGTCGGTACGACCGGTTATAAATGGTAGACACGAGGTGGTGCACCTGAAAAGTCGGCGCTTGCTCGCTAGCTTCTTTCAAGAATCGTGTTTCGGTGTGTTGCTTTTCTTTTTCTTTCGCTCTTTTATGGGCCAAGCACGGTCGAGCGTTGCGCGAATGTCTGCCCTGATTTTTCAGGAGCAGCATTCACGACAGCACACAACAAGAAGAGCGTTAAAAAGTATCGGTGTCAGTCCTATCGCTCGGTTAGCCAGCTATAAACATTCACTTTTATTCTCTATCATTCTATTCCGCAGCGTGCGCGTAAGGTAAATTATTTCGTTAGGGTATACCAAATCCAATTTAATATTCCGTTACTCGCAATAAGATGAAAGAATGTTCCCGGCTCTTTTCAAACAAATTGCCGCTATTCCGTGCCCTTGGGAATGTGATCCTAAAAGGTATTTAACTATTATCCGGCAAATCAACAGGCCGCTGCTTAGAGCTCGAGAGGTCGGTCAGAAAATCGAGAAGAATTCACCCCGGTGGGCGCACAAATCTGCCGTGTCTACGAGGGTCAGCGTCAGGGAACGAGAAAGGGATCGATGAGCGAGCTTCCGGCCCACGGGACTGAAAATCTCACTGGACGCGCGCGGCGCGCTTCCAACGACAACGTGTAAACCGTTCGGCCGGCAACACAATGGCGGACTGGAAGTCCGACGGAGCGAGGAAAATATATTGCTAATAGAGTTTGCAACACGGCCCGTTAGTCGAGAGTAATGCCTTACCACGGGGTGGCACACGTTAAGCTCGTTTAACGAACCATCCTGCCTTCCACCTTCACCCCCTCCCCTCTCATTCTCTCTCTCTCTCTCTCTCTCTCTCTCTCTCTGTCTCTGTCTCTGTCTATTTCTCTCTCTTGCTTCTCTCTTCTGCCACCCCTTTCGCCCTTTTTTGCCCTTCTACTCTCCCGCGTTCGTGCTTCCGTGGACGTCGATTAGATTTATGGACTTCCATCGTGTGTCACGCGCTCGCCCTCTCGTCGCCGTGCTCTCGTTCGTCGAGGGATTTCATCTTGCAGCCGCGATAACCGCACGTGACCATTTCGAGTCTCTCGATTAGAGAGGTATTCTTCTCCGCGAATCGAATAGAATGGATTGCCCGTCGCTTTTACGCGACTTTAGTGAGTTATTACCTCCTGATGCACTTCGAGGTCAAAGTAACCGTGAATAATGCTGTATAATCTTATCGCGGAAGCTATTTTCAAAATGATTCTCGTTATTGCCCTCAAATTTTTCTCCATACTTCTTATACTTACGTGCCATTTCGACGTGGCACGTCGCGTAATAATTGTTAAAGTAGGAGCGCAAATAAATAGCGCATTAAATTTTTACCGCGTAAATATGACATGCGGTATCTTTTCAAAGATGGGCGGGACGTACGGGGGATACATATGGATCATAAAACTACGAAAGTGGATTCTACGACGCACCTCGAGTCCCGTCACGTTCGACAGATGCCCGTATGACTCTTCGAAAGTGCTAACGTCCCGCTCTGCTCCTTATTTCATCGACTATACGTACGTCGCCCCGGCGACGGTGCCATATTTGACCCCGCATATGTTGCACGCAAACATTGGATGTGCAACGTGAGGTTATATCCAATATCTCCCGTGAACCACATTTTCCTTAGTAGATTCCGTACGATAAGCTAAGAAAATTGCTTGGGATATGAGTAGAAAGCAATTAAAATTTAAACACCATTAATTTCCCAGTATACCGTAGGCTTAGAATGGCTTTGCACAAAGTTTTTTTATTGTTACGTAAAGTTTAAAGGGATATTAAACCAAGGGAT